TATCTATCTATCTATCTATCTATCTATCTATCTATCTATCTATCTATCTATCTATCTATTATGCAGTGTTCTGCCTGCGTGTGTGCCTGCATACCAGCAGAGGGCACCAGATCTCATTATAGATGGTTGTGAGCCACCATGTGGTTGCTGGGAATTGAACTCAGGACCTTTGGTAGAACAGCCAGTGTTCTTAACCTCTGAGCCATCTCTCCAGCCCAACGACACAGACACACACACATGCACACACAAATAAGTAAATATTGCAAACTTTTTTTTCTTTCAACATGCCTAGTATTTTTCTATAGCTACAAAAACTAGAGACCCCAAAATGAATTGCATTGTTAAGCCATTCCTAAGAACAAGTCAACTTAGGCATGCTAGTGACAAAGCAAAGGGCTGTGAGCTCACTTATCTTTCTTAAACATCTTGGTTTGTATATGTTCAAGATAAAATGAAATAGGTCATAGATGCTGCTACGAAACACGAATATAAGTGCTTCTGAAATAATTATTTATTTCAGTTTTATATTACCGCATAAAACAGTACTCAAGAAAACTTATGGTAGTGCACACCTTTAGTCCCAGAACTCGGGAGGCAGAGGCAGTTGGATCACGGTGAATTCGAGGTCAGCCTGGTCTATAAAGCAAGTCCAGGACAGCCAGGGCTACACAGAGAAACCCTGTCTCAAAAGGAAGGAAGGAAGAAAAAAGAAGGAAAGAAGGAAGGAACTTGTCTTACCTTCAATCTTTGAAACATCTGAAGGCTCAGCTCTATGTTCCTCTAATTCAGTATTTTCATGAGGATGAAAGTCCTTTATTTGATCTCCATGGATGCAAAATTTAACAATGTATTTCATTTTAACTTGATTGGTTTTATATACAACAAATTCATCGTCCTAGAGCAAATGCGAATCGATAGGAGGTTAACACGTGCAGAGAAGAGCGGCTGCTCTCGGAGAAGCAGCAGCCCATACTTGTTAATTCAGCAAAGACCGAGCTTAACAGACAGGCACGACCTGAATTAAAACATATTTAATAAAAATAAAAGCAACCCTCTGAGGCTGGTCTTGCACACTTGGAACTCATTTTGCCTGTTTTGGTTTGTTTGTTTGTTTCTTGTTTGCTTACTGTTTGTTTTTTCTTTTAAGTGGTAGGTGCTGGGTCTGCATGTCTCCCGAGATAAAATACCTCAAAGTCTGTAGGGTCAGAGGCTGTTCCTGAAACTCCATGCACGCTGTCATAGCCCGGTGGCGCCTCAGTTAAAGAAAAGTCCTTCTGGACCAAGTCCACACACTTCCCCAGGGCAACGTCACAGACGACCAGGAGTCTGGAGCCTTCGGTCTCTCCTGCCTGCGCGTACTTAATGCTTGTGCTGCATGAAGGAGAAAATGAGCCCAGGTTACATCGGCTACAGGCCTGCCTCACGTCACGGTACAAATAGGAGACAGGAGTTGGGCGCTGAATCAAAGTGGCCCCAAATTGAAAACTGTGAGCACTGGAGTGACACCAAAGATGGAAAATTCTACCCCTAACCTGGTGATGGTTGCTGCCTGAGGTAGGCTCACTAAACAGATGGTATACAATCACCACCAGGCGACATTTATCGGATGTAGACGAAACGGAAATGAATTTCATGTTTGGATTTGGGTGTTCCTGAAGCCATCTCTTTTATGTAGACACATATAATCCCAAATCTGAAAAAAAAAAAAATTCTAGTACTTTAGACAAGGGACCCTCAGCCTGCATTGCCGAAAGACTTTCTAGGGAGATCATTCCAAAGTTTACTACCACTGCAGTAGCTCCAAAGATACAAGTCAGAACTTGGGCAGGCACGCACCTCTAACCCAACACGTGGGAGAGTGAGGCAGAAGAGTCATGAGTTCAAGGTCAGCCTGGGCTACAGTGAAACCCTGTTAAAGAAGAGGGCAAGAGGAGAAGGATGGAGGAGAGAAGAGAAAAAGGAGTTGCTCATTATGTACTTATTCATTTAAAAAAAATTCAATGCAGCACACGCCTGTAATTCGAGTTCTTAGAAGGTTGAGGCAGGATAATCACGGCAGGTTCCAGGCTAGCCTAGTATACATAATGAGTTCCCAGCTAGCCTGGGCTAGATAGTGAGAGCCTTTCTCAAAAGAAGAAAAACAAACAAAATCTTAGGGAAAGGCATGTATAGTGCCCTTCTGTATGGCAGGTAGGGCTCAGAGCACTTTGTCTCAGGGACGAAGTCTCTCAGCTACTAAAAATATCTATATTGTGTTGCAAGAAATGCCAGAGTAATGAATAAAAAGGAACACTTTTTTTCCCCCATAAAAGTAGCTAGTGTATTTCACAATCCCAGTTTTAAAAGCAGATTAGGGGGCTGGAGAGATGGCTCAGAGGTAAAGAGTACTGGCTGTTCTTCCAGAGGACCTGAGTTCAATTCCCAGCACCCACATGGTGGCTCACAGCCATCTGTAATGGAACTGATTCCCTCTTCTGCTGTGCATGAAAACAGTGCGTTCATGTACATAAAATAAATAAACCTTAAAAGCAGAGTAGAAACGTGTGAGATAGTGGTAAATCAAAGCTGCAGCCACTTTCTCCCTGTCACATCTCAAGCGCAGTTTTCCCTCCCTCCTTTCTTCCCAGTCCCCCTCCTCCTCTTCTCTCTTCCCCAGATCCACTCTTCCCTGTTTCCCTTCAAAAAACAAAACAAAACAAACAAACAAACAAACAAACAAAAGAGGAGGCCACCAGGGATATCAACCAAACAAGACATAACAAGTTACAGGAAGACCAGGCACAAACTCTCATAGCAAGGCAGGGTGAGGCAACCCAGCAGTTAGAGAAGGGTCCCAAGTGCAGGCAAAAGAGTCAGAGATATGCCCCACTCCCACTGTTGGGAGTCACACAAAACACCAAGCTACACAACCATAACATATATGCAGAGGGCCTAGTTCAGACCCAAACAGGCCCCATGACTGTTGCTTCAGTCTCTGTGAGGCCCTGTGAGCCCTGCTTAGTTGATTCTGGAGGCCATGTTCTCCTGGTGTCCTCAACCTCTCTAGCTTCTATAATCCTCCTTGCCCCTCAAAGAAGAACCACTTTGTGAGTTAAGAAAGCTGTATTGAATTTGCTGCACTGAAGCTCATTAAATGCCAAGCTGGCCAAAAGAGAGAGAGGCGTCCCATTCTCATAACCCCTCCTGAGTCACATGGAGAGTAAACATTCCTCATGACAACTGGGTCAGAGATTGAGAATCAGCAGTTTTTCTTTTCTTTCCTTTTTTTTTTTAATTTTAATTTTTATTTATAGACAGGGTCTCATCATAGCTTAGAATGATCTTGAACTCACTCCTGGGCTGGGGCAGACCATGAACTCAGAGTTCTCCTGTTTTCACCTCTGTAGTTCAAGGATTATGGAAGTGTTCCGCTATGCCTGAGACATCCCCCTCTTTTATTCCCCTCCAAGATGGGGTCTTATAGCTACCACACTGGGTTTATGTGGTGCTAGAGATGGACATAAGGCCTCATGTGTTAGCCAACACCTTACCAGTTGAGGTATAGCCCAGCCTGTATTGTTTTTTTGTTTTTAATCTTTATTTTTTTCCCTTATCTGAGTGTTTTGCCGGCATGTATGTCTGCGAACTACATACATGTCTAGTGCCCACAGAGGCCAGAGAGGGCACTGGATCCCCTGGAGCTGGACTTACAGTTGGTTGTGAGCCGCTATTGCTGGGAATCTGAAAGAAGAGCCAGGGCTCTTAACTCTACTTGTCTCAAATTCACAGTAATCTGCCTGTCTCAGCTCCTAAGGGCGGAGGATACAACAGTGAGGAACTATATGTGGCTTAATTTGACTTACGAGGAAAAGAACAATTTTACCCACTACTTCAGAAACCTCTCCCAGTCTCTGGTACTTCCCTGTAACTTGCAAATACACCTGATCCTGTCCTCAGAGCTGGCTCTTGGCACCCTCAGGACATCAGTCCTAGCCTCTTCTTCCTCAGGCTCATGAGAGGGAATGCAAGGACTACCTCCTCTCTCAGGTCTACAGAGCCCTTCTCAGTTGACTGTAATTTGGTCTACTCATAATTCTTTTGTTGAAGAGAGAATAAGTACATAAAATTTGTTGCATGCCTAGGGCAGGGAGCATGAGCTTTCTCTATTCAGCCTTTCTCACTGACATCATGCTGCCAAAAGTTACTTCTTTGTGTTTAATGTGTGTGTGTGTGTGTGTGTGTGTGTGTGTGTGTGTGTGTGTGTGATAGCTGGACACTTGTGCCATGGCCATGACTCTGAAGATCGGAGGACAATTTTGTGGAGTCACTTCTTTTTCTCCACCTTTATATGGATTCTAGGAATTGAACTCTGGTTGCCACATAAGTGCTGTAAGAACTTTTACTGGCTGAGCCATCATGATGGCTGTATAAAATTTTACAGTATAAAATTTAAAGAATAACAAGGAAGTGGGTGTGACAGCACACGGCTTTAACCCCAGCATTAGGGAGGTAGAGGCAGGCAGATCTCTGTGAGTCTAAGGCACCCTGGTCTACACTGGAAGTCCTCGACCAGCCAGAGTTACACAATGAGACTTCATCTCAAGAAAACTTATACAACAAGGAGACAAAATCCACTGTTGCAGGATACTTGGGTTCACATTGTGAACCTTGAGACTGTGTACTGAAAAAAACCTGTTTCTAGTTGGGGTATGGCTCAGCCCTAGCACACACCTTAACCCAAGAGCTTTCTGAAACAGGATTAAATAAAGTCAACCATGGGTTAAGAGGCAGATCAAGCAACCAGTTGACAGGGAGTGAACACAGGCAAAAAACCACAGAGAATGAGAGGAAGTCTGGAGGACAGACAGAGAGACACACAGGAAGGAGAAAGAAGGGACATTCAGTTTGCAGGGTTTTAAAGACCGTGTAGGGAAGGAGAAGGGCCTTTTCCTTTGGGGATGTCAGCTGAGTGGGGAGGTCAGCTGGGGGCTTTCTCTGTCTCTCTGAGCTGGCAGGCTTTCCAACCCCAGCATCTGGTTCCTAAGTTTTTATTGGTAAAATGGAACATTTGGGATTTTGTTTAAAAACAAGTCTGCTAACTGAGAGTGAGCGAGAGCAGTGGTCAGCAGGAGCAAGCGCTGCTGGGGTGGTGCATGAATGAGGTGTCCCCACCCCGCCACAGGCATTTGAACGCTGGGTCCCCAGTTGATGAGACTATTTGTGGAGGCTTAGGAGGGAGTGGAATTGGAAAAGTGTGTGCTGGGGGCTGGTTTTGAAGCTTCAAAGCCTCATACCGTTTTTAGGACACTCTGTTTTGCACTTGTGGTTCAGACGTGAGCCCTCGGCTTCATGCTCCTGAAGCTGCGCCTTTGCTCCACCATCTCATACTCTAAACCCGGAACCCTGAGCCCAAACCAACAAACCCTTCTATCAGTTGCTGTGGCTGTGCTTTACTGCAGGAACAGGAGAGTAACCACTGGCCCGGAGAAAGGACAAAATCGCAGAGGCCTGCTCCCTCATATGCCCCATTTATATTGCACATCCTGAGGCAAGAGCCCCCTGGTGTCCTTAAGGTCCCCATCTGTGGTATTCGAGAATTTTCCTGTGGGGTGGGGTCTGAGGGTAGAGGAGATGAAGGGCGCTGGAGAAGATCCAGGTGGAAAACATATGTGAAAGCTGAGGCAGGCTGTCGAGATGGCTCAGTGAGTACAGGTCCTGCTACCAAGCCTGAGGAGAGTGTGACCCCTGGGACCTGCTTTGTGGGAGGGAAGAACCGCAGTCAAGTTGTTGGTTGACCTCCACAGGTGCACGATGGCATGCCCACATCTCCCCCACTCCACATGCAAATCCACACACAGAAGAAATAGATAAGGGTAATAAAATTAAAGGCTCCAAGTAAAAGAAAACCATCAAGACTTCAAACACAATCTGCTCAATGTTCAGCACAGAAGCCATGCTTTTACAGCATGCTGAAGAAATAGCTGCTGTCAGGGATGCTTTAGGGGGTGAGAGAGTTCCTCACTAACAAAAGAGAAGGAAGTCTGCGAGAAGCCCTCAGGGGTGGGGGATGGGACAGAACACACTAACCTGAGTGAGTCGCTGAAGTAGATCCCGCTCCCCAGATTGCCAACATCTGTTCTTTGCACACCTCGGTCTTCAGCTACCTTAGGTAAGAGCAACCCTCTGAAAGACAAGGGCAGGATCATGGTTTACCAGGAGAAAGAACTCTTCCACACAGCCTTAAGCCCAGTGACCAACAGCAAATTCATCTGTCTTTATAAACCTCAACTGGCCCTCCATACCTACAGTCAATCTGCCATGGATTCCAAATAGTCAGAAAACAAAACAAAACAACTCATCTCTGCTGAGTATGTATAGATTTTTCTTCTCATTAGTTTTTTTTTTAAAGATTATTTATCAATATGAGGGCTCTCACTTCCTGTACATGACAGAAAAGGGCATCAGATCCCATTATAGATGGTCTGAATCACTGTGTGGTAGCTGGGAATTGATCTTAGGACCTCTGAAAGAGCAGCCAGTGCTCTTAACCTCTGAGCCATCTCTCCAGCCCTTGTCATCAGTTTCTACACAACATTTCCTGTCAACAATCTCCACGCATGCACACCATATTGGATACCATTAAATCATAGAGATATAACTTAAGTATACAGCGAAAACCAACTCCAGTCTATGCAAACTCTTTTATGTAAGACCCTTGAGTGTTAGAGGTCTTAGCATCTGAGAAAGCTCTGGAAGCAACTGCTTAGATGGCAAGCATAACTGTACTCTCCCAGAGCGACATGTGCCGGTAACATGTTACCAGCTACGGTTGTTTGCCCACCACTGTCTTGACCACATGGGCTCTTGGCCATTGTTCCTGCCTCCTCCAGGCAAGACCCCAGAGTAACTGCCCAATGCTGACTGATTCTCTTCACTGCTCAGGATCTTATACAGGTTCCTACTGGACTTCCAACATTCAGAATTCCCGCAGTGTGAAACCATGGCGTTCTCTACACAGTCAGGCAAGGGCAGGCTTCTGTTCTTCACTACAGAAAAATCAATTGTTTAAATTTTGCATCAGATTGATTTTATAAGATGATTTTTGGGGTTTGGTCCTATGTGGAAAGACCATGTCTATATAATTAATTAATTTGTTTGTTTTTCAGTAGTTGGGATTGAATCCAGGACCTCACTCATACCAGGCTGTACTACTAACCCACATCTCCAGCCCTTAAGTTTCAGCTTCCTCCTCTTCCTCCACTTCCTCCTCCTCTTTGTCTTCCTTTTCTTCCTCCTCCTTCTCCCCCTTCTCTTCCTTTTCTTCTTCTTTCTCAAGACAGAGTCTCACTATGTAGTCTTGGTTGGCCTGGAACTTGCTATGTAGACCAAGCTGGCTTTGAACTCATGGAGATCTACCTGCCTCTGCCTCTGCCTCAGCCCCCAGAATGCTAGAATTACTGCATCACCATACCCAAATATCTCTTAATTTTCCTAAGTACTTAAAGGACTGAAATATACTCATAATTTCCCTTGCCCCTGTAACTTCAGCTTCTGGTCCAATAGTATGTGATTATTCAAAGCAATTCGAAAACTAGGGTTGTGCTTCAGATAAATAACTCACAGTTCCTGGACACTCTAACTATGAGATATAGAAAGGCTCATTTTCATATGAGGTCATTGTGAAGGAGCAGTTGACTGTTTCAGGTGTGTGTATGTGTGTGTGTGTGTGTGTGTTCATTTGCAGTTTGGTCTTTCTGAGCCATGGTCTTGAATCCATTCTGTAGCCAAGGCTGGGCTGGAGCTAGATGCAATTGCCCTACCTGCCAAGTGCTGGGATAACAGACATCACCATCCCTAACTCTCAAGGAGCAATTAATACCTACATAGAACCCCTTTAAAAAGACCACAAATACATAACACACAATCACAAATACAGAATTTAAATGACTATCATTTTCTCCATGAATAAATGTGCTGCTTTTAACTGAGAAGCCCATGTGTTTTGTGTATTTACCATGGTATTGTTTAGAACCAAAGACATACAGTTTAGACAAAAGCAGACAAGAGAGGGGAACATTTCACATTTGTGAGCACATCTCACCGGGACAAGATTCCAAGCATGTTCCGCACAGGAGATCCATGAAATAAGGGCCTCGTGTTACCCAGTTTGCCCAAAAACTCTGTAGCTTCATTTACTCTGCCAACTGTAAATATTTGCAAGACATCTACTGGACATTCACTGGAAGAATTAGAAGAAAAACCTTAAGGTCACACAATTAGAGGAAAAAGAAAACGTCAATGACATGTAAAATCTCAAGAAACTCAGATATTTGTGCTTAAAGGTGCTTGCCACCAAGCCTGCCACCAAGTCGCAAGAGCCCATGTGGCAGAAGAGGAGAACCAGCCCCCACAAACCTCCTCAGAGCTTCACGCGCACACTGTGGTAAGGGCATGTGTTCACACTGTAAGACTTGGGGTCTCACAGCTCAGGAATTCAAGATCGCGCCCTTCCCAGAAACTCCCCCAGACCAAGACTCGTTGCAAAAGCAAGAGGTTTATTAACCATTGCGCAATGGGGTCACCCCTGCCAGTCAGCAAAGAGTGGCACTGGGAGACAAAGGCCTTTAGGTTTTTAAAAGAAAAATTGCGGGAAATTTGAAGTTGAAGTTTGGGCAATTTAGGATTGGATGAGGAAGCTATAAAGTAAGATCATTGGTTAGTCTTAGGTGCTCAAGCTTGGCCAGTCCTGCCAAGTGTGGATGCAGCTGCAATTGAAGGTGGGGGTGGTTAGCTCATCCTTGAAGCTTAGGGCTGCGGGCTCTTGGCTGGAGGTCAAAAGCTACTCAGAAGGAGTCTGGGTTTGTTGCTAAGAAACATTATCTCGAAGGCAAGGGTCTGGTCCTTCTTTTTGCTGAGTGAAGGTCATTGCTTGCTTGCCTTTTTTTTTTTCTATCTGTCCTCACAGATAGGGTCACATTTCTCCATTCTCTGGAAAGGTACTAAGAGGCGTTAGCTTAACCTGAACCTAACACTCAAAGCTATAGGCTTTAGAAGACGTACAGGTTACAAAGTTAGTCTGACCCTTTCAGTGCTTACTCACACACTCTCTCTTATATAAAGTTTACAAGACTTTATGTAAAACACGATTCCAAATTTGATCAACTATAGAGACCATATGATTTCTTTCTCTTCTATATGAAAGAATCATTTAATCTGGTTACTTGTTGTTGTTGTTTTTATTATAGATTACAGTCCATCATGAAGGGAACCTAGGGCAGGAACACAAGCAAGTTTGAGACCTGGAGGCAGGAACTGAAGCAGAGACCACAGAGAAATGCTCCCCATGGTTTGCTTTCTTAGACAATCCAGGACCGCATGTCCAGGGCTTCCGCTGTCCACAGTGGGCTGGGCCATCCATAGCAATCATTCAGCAAGAAAATGTCTCAGAGACTTGCCTTCAGCTCAATCTGATGGAGGCAACTCCTCAGTTGAGGTTCCCTCTTTCCAGATGACACTAGTTTGTGACAAGTTGGCAGAAACTGAGCAGTCACATATTTAATATGAACTGTGCTATAACTATTCCATCCATGGGCTGTGTCAAGGTACACAGCCCTCTGACCATGGGTTGGAAATGCATTCATTTATGCATCCACAATCATAATCTTTTGCTGAATATTTCCCCGGGGGGGGGGGGGGAAGGCAACAGGGTTTCGGGCTTCATGGAGTTTACATTCTAATGAGAGAGGCAAAAATTAAGAAGTTACCAAATTACTTATGTGTGACTAAGAAAACCAACTAGGCTCAGGAAAAAGTGTGGTAGAAAGGCCACTCTTTTTAGGTGACCTTTACTGCGACATTGCACGATGCTGCGCTCATGGCACAACCTACCAGGTTGTTACAGGAGCTCAGGTGGACGGGCTAAGTAGGAGAGGAAAACACATCACGGAGGAGATGGCAGGCCCTGGATGGCACGCTATCATCCTGACCAAAGGTGCTGGCAGGTAGAGTGTAGAGGCTGAGAAATGAAGGGTACTTTGGAGGAAAATAGACACTAGGTGATGGTAGGAAGAATTCATGATGGCTGTGAATAACTGGCCTAGGCAGGGAGGCATGGAACACTGGGGAAAGTGCTGAAGGATAGTACTGTGGGCTGAGGAAGCCATGAAGCCTTCCTGAGTCCATGGTCAGAAGCATCCTACCATACCTCGATGCTGGCCATGGGTGGAGTGTTTATACCACAGAGATGAACAAATGGCAATCAAGCTCTGGATGATGGCACACACTTGTCACCCTAGCAGTTGGGGAAACAGGCAGGAGGAGGACTGATACAAGGTCAAGGCCAGTGTGGTCTACACAGTGACTCCTAAGTTAGCCTGTAAGTTACTTACACAGTAAGACCCTGCCTCAACCCGCCTACCTGCAAAATAAGTCACCGACAGTCACAGCATTTCATCCATTATCAGCACGTCCCAGGTGAGTTGAAGAAAGAATAATTCAGAACGAGATATGGCCCTCTCCAAGATCCTAAGTGGTTATGATATGGGCAGTGACAGGCTGAGCGCGATCTCTCTCTCTGTAGTTTACGTGGTTTCTAAACTTTCACAAAGTACGTTGGACTTAGCTGGACATGGTATTCATGCCTATAATCCCAGCCCCCTGGAGGCTGAGGCAGGAGGATCTCTCTGGATTCAAGGATATCCTGGGCTGAAGAATGACACCCTGCCTCAAACCAAACCAGACCAGACCAAATCAGACCAAACCAAACCAAGCCACACCAAACCAGACAGTCTTAGCTAGAAAAAGTGTCATGTGGAGGAGTCAGTGATCATACGCTGAGGACGCAAATGCAGCTGGTATTTAATGGCTCCTGCCCCGGGGTCATCTCTGTTGCTATTGTAAAGTACACTGACCAAAAGCAGCTCGGGGGAGGAGAGGGTTAATTTGGTTTACAATCCCAGAGAAGCACAGGCAGGACTCAGAGCGGCTATTCACATCGCGCACACACACACACACACACACACACACACACACACACACACACACGAGCAAGAGCAAGAAGGGAGAAAAGCGTAGATCCTTGCTATTTACTCCTTCTCTCTGCTGGTGTTGCGCTCTCTTACACTGTTCAGGACCCAAAACCAGGAGTGGTGCCAGCCACTAGAAATGTGTGTCTGTGTCCATAGGTCTCACAGCGCTCCCTGAAGGCTAGAGACAACTTGTAGGAGCTGGTTCCTTGTTTCCTGAGGATCAAACTCAGGTGGTTGGGTTTAGCAGCAAGTGCTTTGACCCACTGTGTCATCTTGCCAGCCCCTCAAAACAATGTGAACACAGAAGAGCGTAACTCTTTGCCATCATACTGCAGCTGTCTTGTCTGAACACGGAGGATCAGCCCCTAACATCGCGACTGACTTGCCAGCAGGATGGAAAGGGCATTGCGTTGGTATCGGAGACCTGATTCACCCACCTGTGAGCACTCTGCAACACCTCTTTTCTCACCCTGGAAAACTCCTTGGTATCCTGTTCAATGTGTTCGATCTTGCATCTCAAAGCTCGGTATTTGGCGAGAGATGGTGGGTTGGGTTTGGATAAATTCGTTTCACAAACATTCACCATGTCTCTTACCAGCTGTGGGAGGAAATGATACAGAGATATTAGAAAAAACACATATTTAAAGTTAATACGTATATTAAATCAATATCTTCCAAAAAGATAAAAATTAGTTTTTCCACAGAGTTTTTGATTAATATTGGATGTTGGTAGAAAAACAAACTGAATACAGCTGGGTAGAAAGCTGGGCATGGTGACTGCACCTGTAACCCCCTTGGGGAGAGGAGGCAGGCACACTGCTATGAGTTCAAGCTTACCCTAGGTTACACAGTAAGTTCCAGGCCAGCCCAAGTGGCAATGCAAGTCTTATTAGAAAAAATAAAGTTATTAAAACTCAGTTTTCCTGTCTACTTGAGAGTCTGAGGCAGGATTACTTGAGCCCAGGAATTCAAGGCTATCTTGGGATGAATAGAGAAATGACCATCTCAAATATAGATAAACAGACAGACAGACAGATACATACATACATACATACATACATACATACATACATACATACATAGAAAGAAAGAATTGCCTCACTGTAGCAAATATAGCAACTTAATATACTATATTAATGTACACTCCTTTTTAAATTTCTCATTGTTGTGTCAAAATAGGCAACAAAAGCAACCTAAGGGAGAAAGGCTTGTTTTGTTCCTGGTTTAGGGGACAGCCCGTCACGGTAGAGACGGATGGTGGCAGGACTGGGACACCTCCGCCGACATTGCATCTGCTGTGAGGAAGCAGAGAGAGAGGAAGTGCCCAGGTCACTTTCTCTGCTTTCTTCAGTCCAGGACCATGGGGCCACTGCCCACCTTCAGGGTAGAGGGTAGACCTCCTCTCCTCAGTTAAACATCTCTGGAAATGTCCTCACAGACATGAAGGGAAGCGTGATCCCAAATCCCAACAGTCTGACATCAAGAGCACACACGATCATCGCACGCCTCACTTTTTGTCTGTTTCTCTCTCTCTCTCTCTCTCTTTTTTTTTTTTTTTGAGACACCGTCTCTCTACATAGCCCTAGCCGTCCTAGAACTCAGTATGTGGACCAGGCTGGTTTGGAACTCACGGAGAATCGCCTGCCTCGGCCTCCTGAGTGCTGGGGCTAAAGGTGTGCGCCACCACGCTTGGCACGTGCACCACTTTTTGAAGACTTACTCACTCTTTATTTGTAAAAATGTTTTGCTTACGTGTGTGTGTGTGTGTGTGTGTGTGTGTGTGTGTGTATACCGTGAACACACCTGGTGCTGGTAGATGTCAGGAGAGGACATGTGAGCCCCTGGAACTGGACTTATGGATGGCTGTGAGCCACGTGTGGGTGCTAGGAGCTGAAAGCGGGTCTTTGGCAAGAGCAGCAAGTGCTCTTAATCACTAAGCCATCTCTCCATCCCCTCCTTTTTTTTTTTTTTTTTTTTTGAGAGAGGGTTTCATGTAGCCCAGGCTGGACCCAGATGATATTGCTCTTGAACCCCTGCTCCTTCTTCCTCTGCTGGAATTACAAGTGTGTTTCACCATGCATGACTTTAGTCACCGTATGCATTTTTTTATTTTTATACTATTATTATTATTGCTATTATATTTTTGTTTGTTTTTTGAGACAGGGTCTTTCTATATAGCCCTGGCTGTCTTTGAACAATGTAGACCAAGCTGGCCTCAAATTCACAGAGACACGCCTATTTCTGCTTCCCAAGTGTTGGGATTAAAAGCAGGCACTACCACGCCTAGCTTTATTTTTTTTTTTTTAAAGACTTCACTGTATTTTATGTGCACATGGCTGGTGCCCACAGAGACCAGGAGGACGCTGGGTCCCCTGGAACTGGAATTACAGATGGTTGTGAGCCACGGTGTGGGCCCCTTGCAAGAGCAGCCAGTGTCCTTAACCACTATGCCATCTCTCCAGCTCCAATTCAGGATATTTTAATGGCATGACCATGCAACACACTTAATTTAATTCTTTACTCCAGGAGCATACCTGACAAAGGTCCTCTTTCTGAGCTAACAACCTCAGGCTGACTTCTTCTGATTCTGGATGTTTGTGAGGTATCAGTCGGTAGAACTCAGCCATTGTCTTTTGCAGTTGCTCCACTGTTTCTCCATTCTTCAGTGCTGTTTTTACTAGAAGGAGAATCCCCTCTGCTTTACTCACCTGCAAGCAGAAAAGCAAATATCTTATTAAAATTCAAATCTTGATAACCATAGGAGATATGCATAAAACATATAAGAATACATACATATGTGTGTGTGTGTGTGTATATGACTTTTCTATAGATTGCTGATGCTGCTACAGTTTGGGTGTTTTAAAAAATAGAACATATGCCAGGCACAGTGGTGGACACCCATAATCCAGCACTCAGGAAGGCAGTGGTAGGCAGATCTCTGTGAGTTCAAAGCCAGCCTGGTCTAGAAAGTGAGGTCAGGACAGCCAAGACTATATAGAGAAACCCTGTCTCGAAAAACAAAACAGTAAAATGTATTACTTCTTTCTCAATTTCAATCCTGTGCCTTAACTGTGTTTCTAAGGCTCATCTTTAAAGCTTAGTCCCTAGGGAGGTGCTTCAGAAGTGGTGGGAACTTCCTTAAGGTTATTTCTTAAAGAACCCACTGAGTTACTAAAAGGTTGCTTGCATTTGTTTAAAAGCAGGGTTATTTGCTGGGTCATGGGCAACTTTTCCGTGGCTACACCATTGAAGAAAAATGCACCATCATATTTCTATACACATGAACACATATTTCCACAGACAGGAATATGAATGCAACTACAGAAGACTTGCTTTTCATGAGGAATGTAGAGCGATGCCAGCCTCAAAGCAGGGCTACGTTCCTAATTATGCAGGAAATCTGTCTCTCCTTGAAACAATTAGCTTCATCCCATAGGGGCAAGCTCCCTGCACTGTCTTCAGAGGAGTGCTCAGCTGCATGAGTTTATCACTGGGAATATCTTCTGTCAATCACTTCTTTCAATCAGCATCATACATAACGGAGAAGAGAACAGCCTGTTCTGGTGTTTAGAAGCAAGCCTGACTTTCCTGATAAGGTGAAAGGCTGAAGGGATTGCAGGTCAGGAGCTGGGTATCTAAGTGAGGCACCACCAACCTCTCCCTTGGCGACACTACCGTTGGCACTAATGCTTAGGCCTATACTGACCAGCACATCCGACATGACAAGGACATTTGCTCTCTGGATGTTCCCTTTCTTTAGGGAATGAGGCAAGAACAGTGGGGACTGGACTTCAGAGTAAAGCAACCAGCGCACCAATGTTAGCACTGGTGTTTACACCAGCTCGCCAGGAGGGAGGTCTGTTGTACCATTCAGTGTAACACTTGACTTACGTCATTCAGGCTTATGCTGTTCACTGGCTTGAGAAGCTTGTGTTCCAGGTGGCCCAGGGCTTCCGCCCAGATCATCTCCACCAAACTGCTCACCTCCTGGCTCAGCGTACCCGAACTTACGACCTCCTCCAGAAGTAACTGAAGCAACAAAATGACAAAGGATCACCCCCAGCCAAGAAAAGCCCTCGTGAGCACTTTGTGTGAAGATGACAGAGGAGCTGGGTGTAGGTCAGTAGCAGAGCACTAGCCTAGTGCATCCAAGACCCTGGGTTCCACTCCCAACCAACCAACCAGCCAAGCAACCAAACACAACAGTATAAACCCAGAAGCAAAGCGTGAGAAAAAGCAACATAGCCCAAGAGAGGTGCTAAGGCTGGAAACGGCTGAGCATCCCTCAAGGTTCATGTGTTGGCGGCCTGGCTGTGGACATGTCACGGCGGTTCATCCTTCCAGAGGCAGAGACGGATGGAACCTGTTCAGAATGCAGGGCAATAGATACCTTTCTTGAGGGAGAAGAAGCCCTTCCACATTACGACGAAGACAAGGATGCCAGTGCCATGGGCTTTCTGCCTCCAAGCCACCGGGCTGAGAGCCAAATAGCCCTCTTTATCAAGTTTTTAGCCTCATGTATCTTGTGGCAGCAACACAGAACAGAGTCAGATCCTAAGCGGCTCAGGCCTCTTTTCTCCACTGGGGTTGGTCGTCCTCACCCCTCTCTGCCCCCACTCTTATCGCTTTTCTTCCATTTTATTCTCCCTCTTGTCTGTTCCTTTGCTCTGTAAGATTAGGGCCCATCAGCGGCATTAAACACATGCAGTAAGAGTTAAGGAGCATGGAGCCAAAGCCCACACTACAGTAGTGAAATCTTTGTTGCTGAGATAAACAATTGATCTTGTAGCTTGTCCCACAGCTCACTGGGCAGTATGATCATGCCTTCAGGTTTATCTTTCTTTCTTTTAGCTTCCCTTCTCCCCTGCCAGGGTTTATTTTATTTAAATGAAGACAGTATTTCCTTCTCTGAGACAGCGCTTCATGAAACCAAGGCTGGTTTCAAACATACTGTGTAGCTTTGGATAGACTTGAACCCTGGATCTTCTCAATTCAACCTTCGAGGCGCTTGATTATAAGTGTAAGACACCATGCTGGCCAAGATTGAAATCAAGACTAGAGAGGTGGCTCTAGACTAGAGAGATGGCTAAGAGTAATGGCTGCCTTTCCCAGGGGCCTGGGTTTGATTCCCAGCACCTACACCTCAGCTTACAGCCACCTGTAATTTCAGTTCCAGAGGATGTGAAGACCTCTTCTGGTCTCTGTTAGTACCCAGAGTGCCCCGACAGGCATGCAGGCGAAACATCCACACATGTAAAATCAACCAACTAAAACAGATCTTCAAATTGCTGGGGAAGGAAGCACAACAGGCCTTTAACACAGGCAGTGAATCTCTGTAAATTCAAGGCCGGGCTGGTCTGCATAATAAGTTTTAAGCCAGGCAGAATTACATGGTAAGACCCCAGTTTAAAAAAAAAAAAAGGTGGTGCCTGTGTAGAATCTTAGTGCTTAGGAGGGTAAGACAGGGGGTTTGACTAAAGAAGGAGAGGATCTAAAAAAAAAAAACAAAAAACAAAAAACAAAAACAAATCAAACCAGACAAAACGACACACAGCACATCCTCCCAACTCAGCCAGCATGACAGGATTGTATCATAGCAGGCCTACTACCCGCAGTTTGCACAATCATATCACAGCCAGCGTACTGCCTGCGGTTTGCACAATCATATCACAGCCAGCGCACTGCTTGCGGTTTGCACAATCATAGCACAGCCAGCACACTGCCTGCGGTTTGCACAATCATGTCACAGCCAAACTTACTGCCTGCAGTTTCTCCGACGCCAGCTGTGTTGCTTCAGCTGTAACGTGTTCTTGGGGCAGAAATCCTTGTCTCTTCAGGTCTTCCACGTAACTTTCATAATACTCACTCGCACCTTCAGAGGTCTGCTTTCCAGTGCTCTCTCTTCTAGTCTGTGAATTACAGCACACAGAAAAGACACAGTAACCCACCAACATACTCATCTCTCCCGGGAATATCCACATCCTGCCATGAAGGTGTTTAAAAACGACTTTTCCTAAAGAATTACTAGGCTGGTTTGAATGAAAATGTCTCCCACAGGCTCTGATGTCAGGGTTTGACCCCTAGGTGGCAGGTGTTTTTTGTTTTTTGTTTTTTGTTTTGAGAGGTATGATCTTGTTGGGGGAAGTACATCATGGGGGAGAAGCAGGCTTTGTTTCCGGGTTTCAAAAGTCACACTCTTTGCCTGTTTCTCCTTTCTGCTTTCAGTTGGAGACAGGAGCTCTCATCTTGCCACTCCAGTGGCCATGCCTGCCTCCTGCCACACCTCCCTGCCACAGCGATGAAAGACTCCTTCCTTCTACAAGTTGCTTTGGTCCTGGCGGTTTATCACAGTGATAGAAAAGGAACACTTAAACCATTCAGTTTTCAAAGAACAGCCTTAGAGCTGGAGTTCAGGCAGGAGAAGGCCCACGTGGGCAGAACAGAGAGAAAAGACTCCGTATGGGGAAGCATTTCTTCAAGCACGTGCTCAGGGCCTGTGGAGTCTTACTTTGCACACTGGTTTAATGAACTTTGAAGACTGGCATCCACTCCTTTTTGGGAATGTAGAAGGTCAGTCAAGGTTAGGGAAGGAAAGAAAACTAACTTACCAAGGATGGGGACAGGCATCAGTCAAAACGAAGTAGGCTTTCACTGGGGAAAAGGGCAGGAAGGCTCTGTGGTCAGGCACATAACATGAGCCATGGGCTGTTCCTGCAGCCACGATTGTGGCACTTTCTGCTCTCGGAGGAAACCCATTCCACGACCATGAGCAACTCAGCTTAGAGACCCCAGACAACAGAGGACGATGGTTTGCCCTGCCTGGAGTCCTGGTGCCCACGCTGAGGCATACAGCCACAGGGCAAAATCACGCTCCTAGACTGCTCACTGCAGCGATCTCTGAAACTCACAGAAATGACCTATACTCCCTAGCTACTCCATTTAAACAGTAGATGCTAGAGTTTGGGTCTTAACTTTCCCAGGGCCGAAGAGAACCAAAGGGGCCTTGAACCTGCTGGGCAAGACTTCTCCGAGCAACAGGCCCACCCTAAAGCTTTTCATTCTTTTCTCAGTTGTTAAAAAATGGGTGCTGGGAGCCAAACTCAGGTCCCCTGGGCAAACACCCAGCCTATGAGCCATCTCTCTAGCTCCAGCCTTTCATTTTTATGAGTTACTTATTTCAGATAGTTTGTTAAGTGATGGAGAGCATCCTAAGAATGGAAGTTTTTTAGAGTTTTCTACTAGGATGCTTCATGAAGCAGGGAAAACAGGAGGAGCTGCTACTGCAGCCCTCACTACTGCCAGGTGAGGCTTCTCCCAGCAGGCAGACAGCAGGCCTCTGCTGGAGTGCTCGGATGTGAGCTTGCTAAGGATGGAGGGTAACCGAGGCGCACCGTTTCAGACTATACACCGCTATTGTTTTCCTTTTTAAAGACTAACACAGTCTACCATGGTTTTCAATCTGATGTTGCATTACTTTTTACCCATATAACAAAGTATTTTGGGGCACAAGATTTAATGTTTCCTACCTGGACACAGCTGACCCTGGACTAAGGTTCTAGCTCTGTTCCCACAGAAACCTGATAAAAGTCGGCTGTAAGGCTGGTGCAGTAATGTAGGCTTGTGATCCCAACATCAGAAGGCGAGGCGGGAGTGAGATCTGTCTCAAAATGCGGACCTTTGCACCCATCCAAAAAACAGTCAGCTGTGATTGTTCTGCCGTCCCTGGTAAACTGCAGTACGATTAGGGCCTCAGTGAATGTCTGGTGGAAACTGAGGCTTCGGGCTTTCTTGAGGAAGGCTTAACTGGTGCCTCTCCATGCTTATCTGAAGTCCTTGTTATGACAGGCACACACAACGGAGGGTCAGGGCTTCTCTGATGGCTGTGTTTGATGTGTGTGTCTTTCCTGTCTACCTGAGTGACATCTGGGCTAGGGGCAAGATAGTAAGCTTCCAGAGCCTGTGTGGATCAGTGTGAGGCCCTCTCTCATGGAAGAATGGCTGCTGTGTCTCTGGCCATGGTAGGTCTGCTAGGTGGACTCTATGTGAGAAGACATGCCTCTTGCACACTTCATTGAGCTCTGAGGTATTCGCTCTGGGTCCATTTTTTTTTTTTAATTTCATAATTGTTTTAGATCACAGTGGGCTCTTGACTTGACACTGAAATAGGACAGAGGTCATGGCTTCTGCAAAGCCATCCTTGTCATCTCCGGCATTATGTGACCATGAGCCCCGAGTACTTCACATGCACAGCAGTGTGAGAACTGTCACAGTGAACCACAGGGAAGACTCTGTTGTGAGGCAGGTATGTGGCTCACGCCAGTAGTCGCAACACTATGGAGGCTGATGAGGAAAAGAGAATAAGGAGGAAAAGATGGAGGAGGAGAAAGGACAGAAGAGGAGGAAGGAAAGATGGAGGAGGAGGAGGGAAAGATGGAGGAGGAGGAGGGAAA